CAAACAGATCAACAGATCTAATTTGTTGATAATGGTCCATGTTTAGCAGCAAGCCCCATGAAAAATGAACAAACACATTCACAAGGCTGCTCTCAGGTGTCCCTTTTCCCCAAAGATGTCCAACCGGCCAACCCTGGGTATAGCAACTACCAAAGCACAAGCAAACTAACTCACTCGAATCAAGTTCGGTTTGTTCTCCTGGTGACACTGGTCATACCACCGTCGTACAAAGTGAATGGAACTTTATTGGCATGCAAATGGAACCCGCCTCCCGTGGATTGCATTTTGCAAGCGAGCCAGCAGAGTGCAAGGGCACGAAGGGCGCAAACTGCCAAAAAGTATAGCCCAAGGTCCTGCATACCAACATGAGTCCTCATAGGTACCGTGATGGAGGGGCCATCCAAGGTGCATACACCAAATACCATCCAAAGAGGTCCAAGTAGAATATCATTCTGAGGTGCTAGGCTGGGCTGTTCAAAGGAGACCATTGATGCCTCCCTTGCATCACACGCGTTTATGGGGAGAGCATTTTGGATTTGGCTGAAGCGACCCTCCGCTTTGAATCATTGAACAGCTCAGTGTTACTTGATGACGAGGACTGGAGATCTCTTTGCAACTGGCCTGCATCCTGTTTGAGTCACGCGCGATTTGCCTTCCCGACACGTATAGGTTTGCACATTGCCCAGAAAGGGGCCTTTGCTGGGGGGCCTCGGCAACTCCGCAGGTAGCAAGAAAAACTCAACGAGGTCAATCCACATGTGTTCTTATCTAGGTCCTCCAGTAGAGAGCTTAGAATAAGGCTACCCTTTTTTCCAGTCTATTTTAGTAGGGGAACCCTCCCAACCAAAAAAGGGGTGAGAAAGAACACTACTGGCCCAGTTGGAGGACCACGAATTCAACAATGCAGCCTGACTGTGGCTCCCAGCCCCTGATTTACTATGCGTTGCTGTATCTTCACAGGGGTGGAAGCCCCTGGTTCCCACAACCCTGCTACTGGGGGACCTAGTTGTTCATCACCACGAGGTCAAGGGCAAAATCTTCTATGACGATGGTCACGCTGACGGGGAGGCCCTGGAACCCTGGGGCCCTGGCTGTCGTCATGACGCCAGTCCTGCTCGACCGAAGTCTCCAGTTTGGCGTTGTTTGCCTCCAGAAACGTTGGGGTTTTGTTGATCCCTTGCAAAAACTACCCACTCGACTTGGTGGTGCGTTCCCTCGCTTGAACATGCTAAAAACTACATCTGTTGGTGGGGTATGTCACTAATCCATCTAAAGCGTTACCAATTCAAATATCTAAGGATATCCAAGAGTCTAGCTGGGAACCGCCAAGTCAACTGATCTTCCCAGGCAATTTCTATCCCAAACCTGAAGTAAGAAGTGGGCCCCATGTACTTGGTTGCTCTTGACCCCCTGCAAAAAGTTTAACTCTTTTTTTTTTTGGAGGGGGGGGTTAGTGGACAACGCAATTATTTCCCAAAAAGTTGAAGTCTAAAGATCCAACCCAATAGCAGTCAAGTGTAACGGACCTTCATGGAGAGCTCGTTCTATTAGCTGAGCTCAAAGTAGAGCAGTCAGCTAACGGGAGCACCCCCTGCCTGATCTTGGCGAAAAGCCCAAACAAATCCGTACCAAATAGTCGAAAAAGCATTTGCCCCCCCCCCCCCGAAAATAGTCTAACTAGTAGAGAATTAAGGTATCCTTGGTCCTTGGCTTGCGTGGGAGCAGTCCAAGCTGGTCCTCAGCTTAATGTGAAACAAAGGGTTGCTGTTTCGTGGCACTGGGGGCAGGTGTTCCCCCCCCCCCACAGTAACATGGAACCCAAAAACCCATCGTGACCCCCACCCCGCCCCCAGGCAGGTTCCATGTAAAAATTGTACAATTTATACCCCGAAAAGGCTGGGCTCGGGCTGCTTAACATGCCTGATCCATCCCTGGAAAATGACTGGAAAGGTGAGACCCAATCCCTCCGGCCAAGACAATAATTTTCTGGATTGGTCACCCCTGTGCATTAACGTGGAACCTGACGCTTCGGGGACCTGGAAGACAACGCTCGTTTAAAAGGGACCCTTTGGTGTTGTGGGGGCAAACCAAAGAGTCAGTAGTTGAGCTATCAAGGTAAGCCCTGTTGGCATGTGAGGAATGAGCTCACTAGGCCTGTTTGCTGTCCGATTATCTTTGCCTTCTTTGGGCAGCGATTTCAATCATCGGCGGCTCCTTGGCTGCCCCGATATCCGTGGCCTAAGAACCAAACGATGCGAACCCTCGCCGTCTTCTTCGTTTTTCACACGCGGCTCACAGTCCACAGCCCCCACTTGGCCGCCTGGTAGAAAAGGGGCAAAAACCCAGTAACCCGATGTTTAGTTAAAAACCCAGCAACTCACCAAGTTAAAAACATCGGTTTAGACGACATATATCCGATTTTGCAGCCAAACCCTTCAGCGGACACGCGCAAACCCCCGAACTTCAAACCGCGCCTCAAGCGAAGGTTGGCATCACGGCGGGCTGGCACCGTGCGCCGTCCGGGCGCCGGAGACAGTGCCGAATCGCCGAATCGAGTCACGAGTCGGCGTGAGTGGCCAGCGCGTGTGGGGAGCACCGTGTGGCCTTTGGTCTGTCTGGTGTTTCTTTGTGGGATTTCTTTTGCAGCTGCTCATTTGCATCTTGCGATCCGGCTCGATGTCCTGCATTGAACATGTTTGCCTCCTCAGCTTGTAGGAGCCAGCCACATGACAAAAGGTTGAGCGCATCCCCAAAAAGGATCAAAAAGGATGGTGAGCCCGTGTCGTGCAGGGCAAGGAAAAAGGGCACAGCACACCCCCAAATGGTTGGAAACGGGTGCTGCAAAAAAATATGAAGCCAAACAATATGCGCCTGTGGTTCCTCAAAACAAAAACCAAACCAGGGGGTCCATTTTGAGAAAACCAAAGCACTCCAACGCCAAGGAAGCTCTACAAGCAGCGACGGGGGGAAAAAATACGCTCCGCACCAAGTTTCGTGAAAGCGAGTCATTGCACCTTCCTCGTCGTCGGACATGAGGGATCTGGGGGCTAAAATGACGCAAACACCATCGGATCCCCATGGAAGCGAACTTTCACCGTGGGTGAGGTCTCTGATCTACTCCACTTCCCCAATGGCAGTCGGTCGGTTTTTTTTCTTCGCGGTCTCGTCTGGAGCTTGCGGTCTCGGGCCCAGGCTGACTGTGCCGAAGCCCTTGTTCTGAATCTGTGGCTACCTCTGAAACGGTTCTCGCTTCCTGAGTGGATGGGCCAACAAAAAGAAACCAAACTGTTTGTTTGCTGAAATGGACCAGACCCAAACCAGAAACTCAGGGAGTGAGTGTTCAAACTAGTTCAGTATTCGCACAAGTCGAAACGTTGGCTTTTGGCCCTGACAGCCAAGCCCTAAAAGGCTAGGCGCAAGGCCGATTTGGGTCCAAACTGGCCTCTTACCTGCCATGTTTGTCCGGATGACTTGCAACAAGCCTGGGGTGAACGACGATTTCAGTGGGGAGGTGTTCCAACACAGCTCCATGCGTCATGGCTTGAGCTTCCGATCTGGCCTGACTGGGTCCGAGGTTTCCCACCCGCAGAACTACGTCATCTTGAGAAGCCCCGACATGCAAGCACCCTTCTTGGACCCCAGCTATAGTGAGTAGCAACCAGTTCGCATACGCAACCAGTACAGAGTTGAGACTTCAAACCGGAAATGAGTGGGGCGCAATTAGGGTCCATGTGCTAACTGATTCTTACAACAGAATGCAGAACGATTGAAGCAAGGGGTATGCCTTGTTGAAGAAGCTGAAAGCAAGAATCACAAGCAAAGGACACTTGCAATTAAAAGGAAACGAAGCAACACTGTGGAAAAAACAAACAACTTTCACTAACATCTGAAGGCACAAGTCTGCCTTTCTCACCAGAATCGGCCTTGCCCCATCTGCAAACGAGCCGCTACGGTTCGGAACGCACCACGTCTTCGACTTGGAACTCGGAGCTCGGAGCTCGGGGCTCAGAACTCGCCGAGCTGCTCCGCCGAGCGGCTGGTGCACCAGAAGGTGAAGCAGTTGCCTCCAACAAAAACCAAAGACCAAAAAGAATCAAACGAGAAACAACTGCAAAAACAACACCCCCACCCTCCCCCCTCCGCCTCCCCCAAAAAAAAAGAAAGAAAAAGCCTCAAAGTCTCAAAGTGTCTCAAAGCAGGGGCCGGGGTACGTGTTTTTTTTTTTTTTTTTTTTTTTTTTTTTTTTGTATGTAGCCTCCATTAAATCAGCATTGCATTTTGGGGAGCAGCCTTGCACCTTGAGGGGAACACAACCATTGGACCAAAACGGGTGCTGGTAGGAACAAGCCCCAAACATGGCTGGCACCGGTTGAACAAAAAGGAATCAAACAAACCAGGGGAAGCCAACAGTGTATCGAACATAAACAACAAAAGCAAAAAACAGCATCTCAGGGATAACAGCTGATACAGACCATTTGGATGGATGGATGGATGGATGGATGGATGGATGGACGGACGGATGGATGGATGGATGCATGGATGGCCAAGAACCAAAATATGCATCTGCCTGACACGCAAATTCCAGTTGCCTGACTGAAGTTCCCCACATCAAAAGTGGATCAATCTGGCGGTTTCCACGGAGAAACAATCGCATCACTTTTCGTTTTCCCCTTTAAAGGGAAATGGCTCAACATGGTACAACCAGATGTTCTTCCCGCTCAAATTTCTCCGAGATGCTGTGCCAGCCTTTGTCCCAGGGATTCCGCGTACCTCAGACATGGCGATTGAACGCATGGCGTCCTTCGCCCAAACGGATCCCACCCCCTACAAAACAATGTGAACGTTTGGAAAGGGGAAATGAAGGACGCGCAAAACAGGGGCAAGAGCAGAAGGGTCACTTGAGCTCTGGCAATCAAACGGTCTAGACTTTTTTTGCGATGCGCAGAGCCACCGTATGAAAAATGGCACCAAGACAGGAGCACGCAATACGGTCTAGACTTGGCCCTTCAAAATGGAGGCTTGGCCAATCCGAATCCCAAATCCCATTTGGCGTCAGAAAAAACGCCTCAGGCCGAAGGACCACGACGAAAAACAAAGATCAAAGCTGGGCACAGCTCCAAAGATTGACTCGCGCTAGATACCCGGGTTTTTTTGTGTCAAACCAAACTCAAACCGAACCCAGCTTCTCAAGAAATCCAGAGACATGGAACTGATAGATCAGTGCTTTGGGGCTAGTATGTACTTGAGCGCAAAACCAAACCATGGGTTGCGTCAGTATGCTTGGTTTCAACGGCTTTCGGTGAGGGGAAGTGCTGCCCACTTCAAAGCCTTCCGTGAGCCGAACCTTACTTCACTGCAGATTAACATGGAACTCCAAAACGGGGCCCTTTCTCCTAAGCACACCGGCCTCGGGGCTCGAACAGAACCTGCAGAAGTGTACCCTCACAAAAGTGGACCCTCCAAGCACACCCCTTCACACTTGATCCAACCTGCAGGGGTGTACCCTGAAACAAGTGGGCCCTCAAATGCCCTCAAAAGACACTCCACATTTCATCCAGCTTCTTTGCCCACAAGCACAGACTCGTTCCATTTGCTCTCACCCCCTGGAGGAGAAAAACAAAAAAAAAGCGCAAATCCAGCAGTGACAGATTCCAACGTTCAAACCCACAAGGGAAAATGATTGCAAAAAGAAACTCAAGGGATTTGTTTATTTATTTTTAAAGCTCCCAGCAACTGGAAGACTCAGGAGTCGAATTTTCCCCGAGACAGGCCAGGGGCTGTCGTAGGTGAAGAGGTCCTGGTCGAAGGCCTCGTTGTAATCCTCCGCCTCGAGCTCCTTCACCGGAGTTGACCTCAGCGCGCCGCTTTTTTTGGTGGGGAGTTGATCGAAATTTCTTTTGGGGGAATATTCCCCTCTTGAGTTGACCATGGGTAACATGTTCTATGTGGTTAAAGAATATGTTTCTCAGAGTTCACCATGGGTAACTTTTTCTATGTGGTTGAAACATCATTTTCTTTAAGTGGCTTTCCAACTGATGGTGATCGAATGCTCACCGGACCCTTTTGATCAACCCCATGTCACCAGGCCCATGGCGTGAAGATGGTTTCCCACTCCCCGAAACCACCGGCCCAGCAATCGGGAGAGTTTAAGGGGGGAGAGACCGTCTCCAATAAGAAGGCATGTGAAGCATCGGTTCAAACAGAAGAAAGCTTGCGAGTTCGCCTCGTGTGACACTTCAGCCAAGCTGGGTGCTTGGATTATGGGAAGCATCATTCATCATAAGTCATTCGTACTTGTGCTGTCCATTTCGGTCCGGGCAAGCAACCTATCAGGAGGACATATCTTTTGGCTGTTTCCAAACAAAGGCACCCAACACCCCATCCGTGTTTGGCCCTTGGGGGAAGCAAGAGGTCAAAAATACCAGCAGACACCACCAACAAACGTGATGCACAGGAACCCTCCTTGAACAGGAAAATCGTTGTCGAAAAACAGGGCTGGCACGAGGGTAGAAAGCTAGTCCACAATGAGGGAAAACCAAACTACACTTGGGTGTTGGTCATCCTTTAGACCATCATTTAGGCCATCCTTTAAAAGCGGCTCGGAGATCACACTCTAGCCAAACGCAAGGGCTGATGCCTAGCTTTTTTGCTTGGGAAGGAAATCCTGGTAACCAGAGCCAAACATGAATGCGAGCCACTGCTAAGCCAAGTTTCAATGACATAAGCGTGTCTCAAAATAGCGGGAAAGCCAAAATTGTTGGTTTCGCTTGATCGCTTGAACACTTTGATGCCAATATTGGCAGCCTCAAAAGCGACACACCCACATGTGAACAAGCAAAACTTTTGAAGTCCAAGGGTCTCACCCGGTGACTTCTAACCTTGGCCAACCTCCAGAGCAATTGCCCTAGCAATTCACATGGAACCTGTCTTCGGGGTCCCTTTAAAAGAAAATTGGTCTTCCAGGACCCCCCCAACCTCAGGTTCCATGTCAGTTGGTGGGAGTGAAATTGCACCAAACAACTGTAACTCCGATTCTGCTTCATATTGGCTGCGGAGGCCCTCACACCGGCTCCAATCAATGGCTGAGCACCGACCAGTATCCTTGTCGACGAGTACCCAAAACTCCTCGGCAAAAGTGTCATTGGCACAGCTTTGGACGCCGTTGCCCCCTTTCAAAACTGGGCGCTAGATGGGGGGGGAACAATCAATCCATCCCGAACGCCGACCAACCTGCTTGGAAAGGCCCAACTACACAACGATGGCAAACAAAGCTTCCCAGGAACTGGTATGTCAGCATTGTTAATAAACGTTGTTCTTTGCAGCACAAGGTTATCCAACAAGCGATGGTAACACCGAACTGCAGAGCACAACTAAACGATTGATCACAACCAAAGACAAAAACAAAACACACAGACACAGACACAAACACAAACATGGACACACCACATCAAACGACACCACAAACAGCAGACCGCAACACAACACCACACACACACATACATGTTGATTTTCCACACACACACACACACACATCCGCGGGCGCTTGGAACACACATATATCAATATATATGTATGTATGTATGTATGTGTGGATATACACCCCTGCCACAAAAAGTATCGTGGCAGCTCTAGCTTTGACTCGTGCTTCACTTAAAGCCGAAGAGACAATTTCGTGGCGAAGTGCGTTGCATTTGTGACTGTCCGTGAATGATGAGCAAAAGCTGTGGCAAATGCTGTTTCTCAAGTACTTTGAGCGTGCTCCTGCACTTGTGCGTCACGCTGAATCAAAACCTGACTAAAAAACAGCCCTAGCCAGGATGGGAAGGTGATTCAAGTTGCTCCCCTTGCACTATATACTGCCTGAGTCAAACGGCACCTGGACACCTCCGAATGGGGCCCTAACATTTTCTGCGCGGATTCCATGGCAATGTGGGTGGAAGGTGGAAGGCCACATGTGTTTGCTCTCTGATTCGGATGCTCCACATATTGCAAGCAGGGGACGGGGGGGAACCCCGAAACTCACTGCAATATGTTAATCGAGTTTTCTGGTGGATGTAGCTGGCTGACCTGCAATATGTATGTGTATATGTAAATATGTGCGTCGCTGGTTGAGTCTACTGTTTTCAGGTTGGTTCTAGATGTAAACTGTAAACCAAAAGGTTCCCTTATTTTGACAAATACCCATCTGGGGAAGCCACCATTCCAACATGTCCCCGCCAGGCGTCATCGTTCTTGTAGTCTTTGGCCAACTCGCTTCTTGAGACGAAGCCCACCTGGGAAAGAAGGTGACCCTAGGAAAACGAGCCTTTCCTTGGTTCAACATTCAAGCCTAAATCTACCAGCTAAACAAACTTATAGCTCATCCAAATTCTTGCCAGACTTAGGTAATTTTGTTTAACTGTCTCAGACGTTTTAAGCCATTTCTGTTTTCCTACATCTCGAGCCTTTCAGTTGGGTCGTAGGTCTGGCCCAGAAACGATGTGCTGGCCTGCAGTTGCCAAATTTGCCTTTTCTGGTCTGGGCAATTCAGTTGGGGTTTGATCAATCCCTGACACATGGGATGGCCATGGTTGGAACACTAAGAAGATGACATGCCCCATTAAACAGGTTTTGACTCACCCATGATCATTTAAGTGCCAGGAATATTGCTTTACCAGCTGATTCAGAGCATGTCCTTAAGCGGGTGGTTTTTGGACCCAGTGGCCTTGTTTGTCACGAGGCTGTCACTGACCTAACCATCCATTCAGAATGACCACCCTCACGCCCAGTGCATTTTTGTTTCTTTTGGAGGAGGTGTTCCCCGAAAATTCAAGGAGCAGAAGAAAGGCACTCGTCTTCCCCATGGCCACTGGGGCAAAGCGATCATGTCACATTGTTAGATACGTTTGCAAAGGGCACTTGCCACACAACTTACAGTACCACTCGTCCCCTAAAAACCATGGTCTCTAGGATGATTGAACCCATCTTATGTCTTTACACATGTTTGCCCTCTAAAATGATGACGGCATAATTCACAAAGCCCGAAGCAGGCGAGGCTCCGAGAAGGCAACACGCATTGTTTCGAGCAAGCATGGGCTTTCAGTGGCAACCCCATTGTTTGAGGGCGCGACATATGGCTGTGGGTCAAAAATATGTACCCAAAATGGAACCCTGGCAAATGGAAACTTGGACTACAACCTGCGGTCCCCTGGTGGTTTCATTTTGACCCACACCCATATTTTCCCAGATCCGGCTTGGGTGGAACTAAGAAGAGGTTTCAGGTTCTGATCATTGCTGATTTTGCCAACTCCGCTTGCATGCGTCGTTTCATGGAATTGTGTAACCAACATTGGCCAAGTTCCGGCCCTGAGCATGTGTCCAAAATTGTCAAAGAAAGGTCGGATAGATTCTCAGGTTGGTTTTAAACAGGTCTGTACCTAAAAAGTTCCATGCCAGTTTGGGCCGGCTCGGGCAAAGAAAGGGGGGAGGCCGGAGGGGAATTCCTGTCATGGCTCCCTGCCTTTTCCATGTTTCTCCGTTTCTCTGAATCTTGGCTGGAACTAGGACCCCAGCAAAAGAATGTCTTTTTTGCCTGGATAGTGGAAAACAAAGGGGCCCAAAAAAAGAAACAAAAAGGGGAGCGAATTCTGGGGAAGAATTAGTGTGAAGGGAGGCTCAACTCATCCGCCGCCCCTCCAGAAATGGGATCGACTCAGTCAGGCAGCGTGGATGGTAAAGATAGGTATGATGTACTTGGCGAAGATGGCCGAGTAGCCCATGTGGAGGATCACCAAGAAAGGCAATCCTTCCGCCCCAAAATTGGCCCCAGTTGCTTCTAATTGCTCAAGCCCACTGGAAAAAAAACAACATCCAGAGGTTCCCTTTAAAACCAACAGGGGAAAGTACAACACAACAGGATGCCCTGAGAGTGCATTTTGCTAGGTTTTTCAACAATCACATCTGGATCCTCTGCCAAGGGCTACCTCTGCACATGCCTAATCAAACTATGAAAAACAAAAAACAAAAAACCAAAACACCTTGAGAAACACAAAAAGGATTGCAAACCCCAACCACTCCCTTCCTTGCATCTTGGGGTTTGCCATATTGTTTTGTTTTGCTGTTGTTGTTTGTTTTGGATTCTCAAGGTTTTCCAAAAGAAAAGCAAAAAACAAACGCAACAAACAACAAGATTGCAGACCACAACTCCCCCGCTTCCTTCAACCGTGGGTTTTGGTGGACGTGCGAAGTTCACATCCAAGCCCTGGTACAGTAAGCTAGAGATGGTTTCCTCTGATTGGATTGTGTCCTTGCCAAAGTCTTCGGTACAAATTAAGCAGAACTTGATAAATCCATTAAGTAGAGTTCATAAGCTAAGAACTCAGGTCCCAAATTTGTTGAATAAATTGTGTTTACATGCCTACTGATTTGTCAAGACAATTCTATTGGGAAGGACATCCTGTGAAACATTCGTATAATTTGGAATAAAACAACCATGATTTAAAGTCTAATTTGAAGTAAACCATGCCAGTTTGTTGTACTTCCCTGTTACATCATGTGGATGCTTAGCTAGATGTTAATTGCAACTTGATCAACACTAAGTAAAGTCAGAGGTCCCAACGTTGTTGAACAAACTGTGTTTAAGAATTTTTGCTTCGCCTGAAGCAAGGGATGTCACACTTCGGGGATCTTCATCTTCCATTTGCTTAAGGCTGCTGGACAAAGCAAACACATGTCCAAAAGTGAGATCGATTCCAACCTTAAAACCAACAAATGAACATAACACATATGGGGGACAAACCAGTGACGGAACTTGAAGCAAATGGAAGTCATTGGGTTTTCAGTGTTCGCCAAACTGAGACTACTTCCACTAGTGATAGATTCCCTCTAAAACTAACAGGGGGAGAATACAACATGTTTTATTTCAGCGAATGAAAGTCATGAGTTTTCCTCTTTTGCAAAATAAGACTAATGTTGACCCCGGATTAATAAACCCCTGTTTATCAATAGGGAGGTGTCCCTGGTTTTAGTAGGGATTTCTCACTTTTGGAGGGGAACACCCCCATATGAATAAACAGGGGTTTATTAATCCGGGGTCATCATTCTTCCTGAGCCAAGTCGCGGAACTGCGTAAGGCACCACAGGAGCAAGGCAGCGTCCACAGCACCGCCCAGCACTGCGATGGTTGCAAGGCCTCCGCACATCACCTGAGGCCGCTGATGGGACAAATTGCTGCGAACTGGTTGAACGACAAACTTCCATTTGCTTAAGCCCCCTCAAAAAAATTTACAAATATTTCCAGTGGTGATCGATTCCTTTTAAAACCAACAGGTGTTTTATTGTTTAAACTTAAACAAATGGAAGCAAATCTATCAAACAAAGTCGAGCAACACTAGGTCCTCCAGTAGAGAGCTTAGAATAAAAGTACTGTTTCTTTTGTCTGTAGTCTATTTTAGTAGGGGAACCCTCCCCCCAGAAGAGGGTAAAAGGGCACTACTGGGGGACCTAGAACACAAAGAAACCAAACTCCACCACTGATCCAGATTTACCAACAGTAATAGATTATTAAGTGAATGTATGTGCCTACGTCTATATATATGTATATATACTATAACTTATAAGCACGTTCACAAATTCCTTGATACAACAAAGGTCAACCTGTTGAAACCTTAGCTAAACATGGGCCAACAAGAAAAAGAAAACAAAGCTAGAAGCTCGGCTTCGGGGAAATCAATGCTTCGTGCGCCTGCAAACCACTTCACAAGTGCCCACTAGACCAAACCGGTGTGCTTAGAAGGGTAGA